CTAGCCAATTCGAATGTGATGCATCAGGCCATGCAAAGATGTGCATGTGTTCAGCGGGCTAACCATATACTCCCTCCATTTCAAAATGTTTGACACCGTTGACTTTTTAGCACATATTTAACCGTTCGTCTTATTAAAAAAAATTTGTGAAATATATAAAACTATATGTGTACGTGAAAGTATATTTAGTAATGAATCAAATGATATGAAAAGAATAAACAATTACTTAATTTTTTTAAATAAGACGAATGGTCAAAGACGTACTGAAAAGTCAACGGTATCAACCATTTTGAAACGGAGGGAGTATATGGCTCATATGCACGTGTGCCTAATATATATACGCATGCATGGGCCATGCAAGCATATTCACGTACTAGCATATGTGTATACATGCTTGGTGATATGTGCGTATATATGCTGGAGAGGGCAAACCAATAAGAGCTAAAGATTCGTGTGTGAACAATACTTGTGGGCTGCATATGGGCCGATGACCTGCAGTTGCGCCGGTCGCCTCCTTGCACGACGTATATACCGGGAGCGTATACGTGTGACGTCTCCTCCTCATCGGCAACAAGAAATTTGTGATGGAAGGACGACGCAGCTGTATGGCAAAGCCGCCGGAGACGGAAACGATAGAGCTGCTCCTCGGCAGCAGCAGCGCTCTGCCATGGCGGCGCCGGAGGATATATACGCGCCGCTCGTTAGGTCTTCCTCTCGGACAAGGAGACAAGGATTTTTTGAACTACACCTAACCTAGGTGGCATGGTACCTATCGATTACATGCGACTCAAATAGTTATAAAAAAATTTTAAAAAAATTAGTAACATCAATTATGTTGATATAAGTCTACACACAAACATGCAGTACTAAATTTGATCTACAACTAGAGAAACAAAAATAACAAAATCGGACAGTAAATAGTACCCGTACAATGCAGATAAAATTTGTTATTTTTGTTTCTTCATATGTCAATCGAATTTAGACTTGTATGTTTATATAGTGTTTTATATTATCATAGTCTATCTTAATAAATTTTATAAAATTTTTATATAGCTATTTAAATTACAGCATACCACCTAGGTGTAGAAAGTAATTTTCCGTCTTCGTCTGTGCCTATATAAAGCGACCATCTGCTGCTGCCGAGGGGGATAGACAACCATTCCATTTTCTCTCTTCACACGCATTACTCTTCTCCTCACACACACGCAGCCATCGAGCATTCCTCGCATCAACACACATATATAGCAGATCGAGATCAAGAGCCGCGTGCTTCATCACGGCGCCAACGTAGCCTCGTCTACACTAACTAACTTAATCAACTCCTCTTTCCTTTGATACCATCCCCGACGCCACTGCTGTGACATCTGCTGTCCAAGCTACGCGAGATTCATGCATACTAAAGATCAACCCATCTACACCACCACGTTGCTCAAGACTGATGAGGTGAAGCGGCGAGGGCGGGCGGAGCCTATATAAAGGCTACGTCACCAACGCCGGCGCACAGACTGATGAGGCCGTGGATGTGTTGCCGGCGCCCACATATATATTTCATCTTCATCAACATTTATCATGCATGGAGAACGTGAAGCGAAGACGAAGATATGACCATATGCAGCTTAATCGGAGGTTCTCCTGCAGGCTTACACCTGCGGAGGTAATTAACCGGTTGTCTTTCGAGACCCCAAGAACCAGAGGACCACATCTCCAAGTCAGATCTATCCAACGATAGGCTATGGAGCGCACATACATACATATTACATTGGGAATTTGTATTTATGGTCTTGAGATTAATAAATCACAAGTTCCCTATGTTCTTTATTTGTTTTGTGTACTTAGTTATACTGGCACGCCCTTGCATATATCGTTATCGTTTTGTTAATTTTCATCCTAAACAAAATTAATATAACTTTTCAGCAACTTCTTAATATAAAACTTTTGCAAACAACATATCATTTAGCAATTTGAAAAATATACGTATGAAAAACAAGATAGTAAAAGTTAGGAAAGGGTATAAAAGAAAAACAGCCCTAAAACCAGCATGAAAAACTTCTAGCAGTACTACTCCTACGCTGGTGCTGCTACTGGAGCACAAGTGTGCACAAGCACAAACAACGGACAAGCAAGCCAGCCGCACGTGTCTCGACAACAACAAACGCAAGGAAGAACACACATCTCCAGGCAAAATCTAACGGGTGAAAATTTGACACGTTTATGAAAAAAAATCTGTCTCCGGATACATAGCAAAATCATACAGGAAACCTTACCAACAAAACATGCTTTTGCTTGTTATCCCTTTTCAGGCCCATATGGTAATTCTGTAGTTTATTGGGCTGAATATGCATTGTGCAGAAAAAACTAATACTTAAAGGCCCAAATTGGTACATTTCCCGTGTCTAAATGTTGAAGGGCTCTCCATTATTTTGGTTTCTAGTCATTTCTCAGGGATCACAATTCAGAATTGGGCATCATTGATAAAAAAAATCTAAACACCAATCCTGGAACATATAACCTGCAAAGATTCTTCACCACACATACGTAACCAAGATGAACTAACTTACAGAGAATATGACCGGTACATTTAGAATCATCTAATTTAGGCGCTCCTAATCCCATCTTAAAAAAGAACAGTAACAATACAAGCATGAGTTTGTCTAATTAACATCCCACGAAATTTCAAGTTTTTTCTTTTTTAAAGCTACAAAACCTCAAGTCGAACCACATGTCAGGAAACAAATAAGATGCGAATTTGGCCGAATTCTGTCAAACATCGCCTCTCTATTGCAAATGCAAGCACATACTACTGCAACAGAACTCTCCTCCATGTTGCGTGTCCACTACTGCAACTGCGAAACAGTCATCAGGGACATTGCAAAGGACAAGCCCTGCACCTAATGTGATGCAAATTGAATCATGTTAGTTACACCCTCCGTCCCAAAATAAGTTCATTTGTAGGTTTGTGTCTAACGTTTAATCGTCCGTCTTATTTTTTTAAAAAAATTATGATTAGTATTTTTATTATTATTAGATGATAAAATATGAATAGTATTTTATGCGTGACTTTTTTTTAAAAAAAGAATTTATAAATCTTTTAAATAAGACAGACGGTTAAACATTGGACATAGAAATCCACGAATGAACTTATTTTGACACGGAGGGTTAGTTAGGACCCCCATCATCATCATCATCATTCATGAGGAGGGCACCATGGCTGGCTGCATCTGGAGAGCAGGCAGCTGTGGCACATCAGATTCTTCCTAGCTACTCCTACTTGAGATCCAACAAGATGAACAGGAGGGCCACTGCCAGATGGGGCCCACTTTACCTGCCTCTGTGACTATCAGTGTGTGTGTGCAACCAGGACCAGCCAGCTCCCCAAGGTGGTGTGTTTCCTTTTTGTCCCTGGACCAGCCCAGGGCATTCATTAAATGGTGCAATTACAAGCCAAATCCTGATTACTAGGGGCACTAAGCTTTTCAGGTGTTGATTACTCATGCCCAGCTGGCAAGAACAAGGAGGAACAAGATTCAGAGTTTCAGACATACTGGCAGCCCAGGTGCAGAGGAGATTGATGCCAGCTTCAGCTCCTTGTGCTGCTATCTTATGTTCTCACACAACTCTCCAAAAGTTGCAGAGTACACCTGTCATGATTTGGAGATTAATTAGTGTGTCTGTTTTAGTTAATGCCAATCTCGGGGCTGATGATCCTGACAGTCATGTGCTTGCCACTGGCCAGCACTGAGCAAGAACACACTACTCCTACTCTGATACTAATCTCCAAGTAGTAGAATAGGCAGGTGTCCATTCACCTCCACTGTAGTAGTAACCAAAACAAACAGTAAATGTCATTGGCTTCCTAAATGACAAGAGATCATTCTAATTAAGTAGTGTACTTAGGACGCAGATGGACCATGTCGGCAGAAGAGAGCAGAACAGAAAATCACTGTGCAAGTATATAGCTAAGGGCACCCACAATAGTTATCTATAGTCTCTCTATAAGAGGTCTGTGTCAGCATATTTTTCTACTTGGAAGAGATTAAATAAAGAGAGAGAGCAAAGCTATCTACTAACCTGAAGATAGTCTATAGAGAAAAACGAGGCAATGTATTAGAGAGCTATAGATACCCATGTAGACATAATATTGAGATGGTTTACTATTAATCTAGTCTATTGCTGAGATATACATGTTTTATATGTAGCACCTTACTTTACCATTATAGGTGCTCTAAGCAGCAGAGCTATCAACCGCTGTTAGGACAATGATTAGGAGGGAAGGGAAGGAAACACGCGAGCATTAATTACGCCTGAAAACAAGACACGATCCCGTGCCACATGATCAGACCAGACACGCGAAATCATGTGATGAACAGTGCTGCTGCTGCTCGCACCTACGCTTCACAGTGTTCATGTGAATGCCTCTGTAGTAGTAGAAAACTGCAAACGACGAACTGATTCAGTCGATGAAACTGCCATCTTCTCCTAGTATTAATTTATGAGTTTTCGCCTCCCAAATCGCAAGCTAACTGACACAGAGGTCAGGTGAAAAAGAGTAGATGAAGAGATGCCCTTTCCTTTTCCTTTTTTCACTTGGAGCAAATAATGGAAACTGATAATTATCTCAGTAACTGATACTAGTGTTTAATTTGTGAGTGGATCAGATTAACTGATGGCACACAACAAGATGCAATCTCATCTGCTTGTGATGTAATTAATTAATTAATTAATTGTGTAGTTATCCTGACGATTCAGATATAACCGAATAAAAATATCATATTTCAATAAAAACGCAGTCTTTGATCTGGAAATTCCAGGATCCGTCTAGTTGAGAATCTTCCAGATAAACAACCCTTCCAAAGGCTAAACAAAATTGCTGTAAACTTCACTGAAGCAGTGTACGTAGTCAAAGAGCAAGTTGGTTCCAAATCTCTGCACAAAGACTTGCAGGAAACAGTAGAGAAATGCAGCAACAAACTGTCAACTGTGCCAATGATTAGCAAAACAAAAGAGAGCAAGCTGATGAACACATTTATTTATTCATCCATCCATATTTACTTTGTTCTCCCAATTGGCAACTAGGATTACATTATTTTGATTACATTTAGTTGCTGGAGATGACAAGCTGTAGCTTGATTCTGGCAGCCTGGCACAGAAGAGAGAGAGAGAACCAGCAACCAGACACAATTATTCCCAACTAATCTGAACCACACTCTCTCAACTGCATGTACGCTCGTCGCTCACACATACAGCTACTAGCTGATCTGGTCACCTTCTCCTCCCAAGCAAGATCCAACCACAATGATCATCAATGTCATCTTCACTGCATTCCCCATCCATCCATCCATCGATTGATCATCCGCGCAGCCGATTGGAGGAATCGATCATGTTCTTGACATGGTTTGTTGATGCTCATGTTCTTGGGCTTGGCTGTAAAATGTGTTGGTGGAATGATCATGGTGGTGTGGTGGTGTTCAGCTGCAGAGCCTGACGGTGCACGCGACGGCCTGCGCCCAGTACTTGAGCCGAGCCTTCACCTCGTCCGGGCTGTCTCCTGCAACAAAATCAATCCATAAGAACGAACTGGTCGAGAAGATGAGTTGTTCTTGCAATCGGGAGCAGTTTCGTTTCGTGATCAAATTGTTTTGTCTTTTCTCCTCTCTTGTGCGATTTTGATTGGATATGGATTGGGAGGTTTCTTGAACAAGTTGGGCATCTCTGCTGCGTTTGCTTTGCTTACCGGGGCTGGAGATCTTCCAGTTGGGAATCGACGGCGAGGGCATCGGCGGCGGCGGAGGCGGCGGCGAGTGGTGCGACTGGGGGTGGTCGTCGAGGAAGCGCTGGCTCATGGAGTAGCAGAGCTCGAGAGCCGGAAGCGTGCCGCAGAGCTCGGGGATCTCGTCGTAGCTGAACCCGAACCCGAGATCCACGCACCCCTTGAGCTCCTCCAGGTCGTCGTCGGTCAGGCTCCGCGCGCGCCCCACGCCGCCGCCCTCTTCGCCGCCCCCCGCCGTGCACGCGCCGACGATGACGCCGCCGCTCGGCGGCTCGTCCTCGGCGACCACCACCGGCTTCGTCCGCCGCGGCCACGCCGCCTCCCACTGTGCCCCGCGCCACACCTCCTCGGCCTCCGCCTCCACCGGGTGGGTCCTGCGGGCGGCGCGGCGGTGGTGGCGATGGCGACGGCGAGGCGGGGGAGGGGAGGAGGAAGGAGAGGAGGATGAGGAGGAGGAGGAGGAGGTTGTGGTGGTGGTGGTCATGGCGGCCGCGGCGGCGGTGAGGTCTGCCTCGGAATCCGAGCTCCACATCTCCGCCGCGGCTAGTGCGCTTGTCGCTCGCGCGAAGGAGAAGAAGAGGTGGAAATGGAAATGAAACGCGGGTGCGTGGCGATGGGGGGTGGGGGGGGATTTATGTAGTGGTGGGTGGGGGGTGGTGGGCCAGTGTAGGTGAGCGGATGGTGGTGCTGACGTGTGGGTGGGGCCCACATGGCAGTGGGCGCTGCGAGCGTTACCCTATAATAAAAAACATAAAATCCATAGGGAGCGTGCATGATGAAGCGTCCAAACAAGTCCATCTTATGTTTTTACCCTAGGGAATTGTTACCCTATGAATTTGACTGAAATTTCGGACGAAATTATTTGTTTTTAACATAAAATGAGCAAATCTGAATAAATATTGTCAAATTCATAAAAAAATGAAAAATTTCAAAATTTTTGGCCGAAATATTATCCTATGGAGGATGGGTTCGATAAAACCAAAAAATTGGAAATTTCATTCCGGAGTTTTGAACCTGGTTGTCCATAAGATCGAACCAAATACGTTCAAAGTAATAAAAGTGGGAAAAGGTACAAATGAAGTTTGCATTGGCTGGTTTGTCCGGAAGCTCGACCAACACGAAGGTTACTATCAAGCCGTACTTTTCAAGATTTTTAAAATTTCGTCCGCCGTAGGCGCAGAAAGATCTAGAAAACGCTCGGTTGTGATCGATCGATCAATCAATCACGACACCCCCGTACGTGCATGCACCGTTGGATCTCATGCATTCTCATCGATCGGTCTCGGTCGATCGACGACACTGACTGCCCAGCTGCGTGCAGCTATCCTTCCATCCACCCGTACGGCGGCCGTCGCTGTCCGCCTACGTGGCAGCGGCCACGTGGTACGCGTGTGTGCCGCTCACAGGAGAGCGTGCAGTGACGTGGACGTAATCGCCACTACTGCAGTCGCCTGTGGCTACGTACCCCCATCTGCCTACTCCTACGTGCCATTTCTTGTAGTAAGACAGTACTCTATCCATCGCGAAAACCAATATAGTACTCCGTAGAATCGAAGAGAACATAATATACAACAAATCTGGATAGACGATTTATTCCACTAGCTAGGTTGTGCCCACGATTCTATATTGATTTATTGTGTGACGGAGGAGTTAGATATCTCCTATAAACGCAAACACTCATAATGTGTGTGTGCTATTAATTTATAGAGATAATCCCTTATATGCCACTGAAAATTGGTCTGATCCCTTATATGCCACTAAAAATTAGCTCTTCCCTTATATGTCATTGGTCTAAATTTGTGCACCCTCTCATGCCACTACCGTCAGTTGACCGTTAACTCTCAAGTAAAAAAGACATATTTGCCCTCTCTGAGTTGTTAGGCATGTCCTATACTTAGAAGGGTAAATACGTCTTTTTTCCTTGAGAATTAACGGTCAACTGACGGGAGTGGCATGAGAGGGTGTGCAAATTTGTATCAATGGCATATAAGGGAAGAGCCAATTTTCAATGGCATATAAGGGTTCAGACCAATTTTCAGTGGCATATAAGGGATTCTCTCTAATTTATATGAAGATACACATGTACATCCTATTTTTTATACACGTTCTAAAAACTGAGTCGGTATATTTTGCGATTAACAAAGTCACCACTGACGCCTTATATAAACTACCACACTGAGTAAAGCACGCATATCAAGTCTTAGACTTAAACCTATCTTTAATACCGATTGCAGGGTTAGAACCCTTGCTATTGATTGGGCCACGTGGCATCACGAATAGCTCACCGACCAGATTCTCGGCCGGAGAACATGCCACGCATTCGAACTGTCCCATAGCCGTCCGATTACATACGAACGGTGAGAAAAGGCCTAGCGGACCTAAATATAAATTGCAAGTTTAAGAAGGGTTTTTAACAAAATGCACAATCTTATCTAGAACAGTCCGGAGTATATGAAAAAAAAAACGTAATCAGAAAAAAAATCCGGCAAGAACAATATATTCCCCTTTCCTAGTCACCCTGCCGTCGCGTAGATGGCAAAAACGGGGACGATGAGCTCGAGCTCGATTGACCTGGAGCTCCTTGGCCCCGCCCTGCCTTGATCCGACGACGGAGTTGTAGACGACACTGGAGGGAGCCGGCTGAGATATAGAGCGCCATAGGGGATACCTCCGCGCTGGTCCTGGAGCTCGACGGCCTCATATAGACGAGTAGGGACGGCGGCGGAGGTCCACGCCGTCGCTACATCCGCGGGGATCAGCTCGGTCGGCTCAACGCCGCTCTGCTTGTCGCCAGCCTCCTTTACGTACCGCCTCTGCGCGCGATCAACCGCTCGCGTCGTCTCCTCGATAGCCTCCTTGCCGCTTCCGCCACCACGGCCGGTCGCACCGCCCCCTCGACCCTTCCGCCACCACCGCGACCTCACCTCATCGCCGACCCGCTCGTCGCCGGAGATCGGAGGCGGAGACAACGGAGCTGGTGGTGGCAGGACGGCCGGCGGTCAGCCCGATGGCGGGGCCTCCGGCTCCTCTTAACCCGCTGCCGTTCGACCACGCCACCTCCGCTGCCTCCGTGATGCATGCAGAGCTGGCCAGCTTGAAGAAGCCTTGAACCCAGTGACCAAAGAAGCCAGTTACCTCTTGCATTTGCAAGCGGCCTCATCCATCAGTTTTCTCAGCCCAAATCCATGCTGGAAAGCACAAGCCACAACAATAGTAGCGCAGTAGGTGCAGTACAGTGGAGTACGAGAGAATAAGAGTGAACTGGGATTGAAAGCAGAGGTGGGCTCTCAAAAAAAAAAAGAAAGCAAAGCATAGGTGGAACGACGGGGCATATGCATGCATGGAGGATGGAGCACGTCACTGCTCCCAATTCCCAATGGCCACCTGCTAACTTACGCGTGCCATCAACTCCTAACAAGTTTTCATTTTCACCCCTAATAGTATTTTTTATCCTATACTTTACTAAATACAAAATATTTTAAAAAATACCCCTAGGTTAGTACTCATGTACTAAAAAAAGATAAACCCTGGGTTTCCGTGTCCAATGTTGGACCGTCCGTCTTATTTAAAAAAATAATGAAAAAAAGTAAAAAGATAAGTTACGCATAAAGTATTAATCATGTTTTATCATCTAACAATAATAAAAATACTAATTATAAAAAAAATTTATATAAGATGGATAGTCAAACGTTGGATACGGAAACCTAAGTTTTTTTAAGGACGGATGGAGTATTTATGTCTAGGACCTTAGAAGTTTTGACTTTTCAAGACTTGTTTGGTCTGATGTACAAAGAGTAACATATTATGACCCTATATTGAGTTGATGATAGGAGTCATTTATTTAAAAAAATATGCAATCTAAATTTTGTAATTTTCACGTAATTTGATAAATTTTGTAAATCCTACTAATTTAAAAGAAATATCTTCCAAAGTAGTATTTGTTAAAGGCATACAGATACACTTAAAGAAGTTAACTATCCGTTACAAATCTTTTTTAAAAAGTTGAAATATAATTATTCACCAAACAAGTACAACTAGCTAAATACGACACATAAGAATTAGCCATGCATAAACTAACCATATTTACTCTTATTGTTGACAATGGCCCTGTTTGGATCCGGAGGGCTATTAAATAGCCCTCCGGAATCTTGCTATTTAGAAGTATTAAACGTAGATTGTTGACAAAACCCATTCCATAACCCCTAGCCTATTTTGCGAGACGAATCTAATGAGGTATGTTAATCTATGGTTAACGGATGATTACTGTAGCATCACTGTAGCAAATCATGAATTAACCATAGATTAACATACCTCGTTAGATTCGTCTCGCAAAATAGCCTAGGGGTTATGGAATGGGTTTTGTCAGCAATGTACGTTTAATACTTCTAAATAGCAAGATTCCAGAGGGATATTTAATAGCCTAGAGGATCGATCCAGACAGGGCCAATATTGCTCTAATTGTATTATATTTTACCTATGATTAGCTAATCAGCCTGACAATCTCTATATTGTGAGATAAATATAGATGGAGGGAATATCATATACTGACCATAGAGGTAAGTAGGTGGCACTAATAGATTAATTAGCACAAGAAAAGGTTTGAAAGTAAATAGACAAGTATTACAAATAAAAGAAAATAAAGTTTTTTTAATTTTGTTTTCCGTAGTAATGCTTTAACAAAGCTTAAAATCTTTACATGAATATGGTTACTACAGGTTAATTGTTCCTCAACCTTTTCAAAAGTCATTAAATAGTTTCTTCTAAATGAACAAGTGTATATATTTTTTCAAAAAAAAATATTGCATTCGAAACTCTTAACAGCAACAACAATAATTATTTTAAATAAGTAAATATGTACTAGCTATAAGTTGGTTTTCCAACGGGCACGCTGATTTTCTTGAATAGGAAAGCAGGGAATTGGAAAAGACTATGGAAGGATGATTTGGGGAATGTTTAAGTTTGTTGCCACTTTCAATCTTACCGAATTTTAGCATTGCCAAATTTCGGTAGTAAATCACACTTCAACTATTACAATGTTACTCAATTTTGGCAGTTCCAGAAGCTCTCTCTTAAAGGCATCAAAATGTAGTAAAGGCATCAAACCAAACAAAGCCAATGTTACCAAAATTCGATAATACCAAAATGTGTCAAAATTCGACATTACTAAAATTTGATATGGTCAATTTTTCAAAGTGTACAAACCATTTATATCTATTTCTGATTCTAATTTTTGGGGTGTTCAATGAAAAATGTTGGACTACTTATAATCGAAACCATTCCTAAGCCACTATGCATTATTGGGTAAGTTGAATGTAAAATTTTGTGATTATGTAGCCCTTTTTTTTTGGATATACAGATTTAGTTATGATCAATTCGTATTTACCTAGCTTCATAATTAACAGTGTACTGGGTTCATCCAATTGAGCTGGCCTATATATACTAACGCGCGGCAAAGCAGCGGTTATTTTCTAGTATATGACTTGGTTACATCACAATAAATCTAACTAGTTAAGGTCCGTTTGCTCACTGCGCATATCTCTTTTTATTCTTTGAGAATTAAATTCTCTCCTTTTTTATGACTAGTGCTGTGTTGCGTACGAATTGAGTAGTATACGAAACTAGTGCC